TAAAACTTTCATACCATCTATTAATTTGAGTGCATTATTATCCACATTTTTTATATTTTCTCTTATTTCTGTCCAACGATTAAGATGTTAGACCAGTTTTCACAAAAGCTTTGAAATTTATCATTGATATTTTAATTTCTAAATTGGGTATGGATTTTGCTACATCCTCCTGTTCAAAGAATAGGGCCATCAACTCAATAACCTAGTTTTTTTTAATTGACTAAAAAAATTTTAGGGGAGGAGGAGGTAATTAGACTTATTTATTTTTTAATTTATTTTTTAATGGAGGTACTGGGGATTGAACCCAGGTTCCCGTGCATACTAAGCACACACTGTACCACTGAGCTATACCCTCCCCCTTAATAACCTAGTATTTTTGAGTAGTCTGATATGAGATCCTGGTCATCAACATAATACATATTTGTTGAGGATATGGCTCTTGTGGGAATTGTCCCAGCAGGATCAGTGTATAATTTCCTGAATGGATTTGAAAGTATATTTTTAAACATGGAGGCATGCCCCCAATTATAAAATGTAACCTATGGGATAATGGCTGGAATTCAGAGGCAGCTTCATGCACAATGTTCAGAAGCTCTTCTTCTCCTGGTCCATGACCTGCCTGTCTGTAACCCTACTCCCCAGCGCCTATTCAATGCCATTCAATGCCGTAGTGACTAAAACGCAACTACTAAACATTCACTTGCAGAGTTGTGATCTCCAAATGTCCTCTTTTAAAGTGTGAAAATATTCATGGACTGGCTGTAAATTGGTATTATTCTTCAACACTTGGTGGTAAATTTACCAAATTTCTCTGTTTTCTGATGGCTAGCTAAAAACACTTTTGTAAGGAAACAGGTTAATGGGAAAGGGTGGGCAAGAAGGGAGACATAGCATGGGGAGGGAGGCAGCAAAAGGCATTTTCCAGGGAGATGACTCCCAGGAAAGCTGCAACTGTTGGGGTTTTGGGAAGATGGGGGCAGCAAGAAGGTATATGTATGTGGGGAGGTGGATGAGCAGACAGTGGACCTGGGGATACTTATGAAGTCAAACATCATCTGTGCCATGATTTTTATCAGCTGGCCTCACACATATGGCTAGCTTCTTCTCTACTAGACAAGAGGCACATTTTCTACTCTTCTTCTGTGTTGCCTCAGAGAAATAAAAAAGGCAAATTTGATGTTTCTGTTTTCTTCTCTGCTTTACTATCATTTCAATAAGAATCTCACAACAACCTAACCTGGATCATACTAATGTGATATATCTATTGCTCAAATAATTCATTTGATAGTTATTATATGGCCTTGTAGCATCTCATATCTTCTTGGGTTCTTGGTTAAGTTCTTTATTGTGATTGAGCTTAACAGGTGTGTCCTAGTCTCAGTGATACTGTAAGTCTCTTGAGGGTAAGTCCACTGGGTAACATTTTTTTGAATCTGTGATGGCTGGTTGTATAATGCAATGCACATAGAAAAATATTGCTGTAGGTTTATTTATCTTTTCTAGCCTATGGACACTGTGTCCTTCACTAGAGTTCATAGTGACTGCCTTTGAAGGAATACTTCAGTCTTACTGATAAACAAGCAGATAACATTCTTGATCTCAGATAAAAGTCGTACTAAGACATTCATCACCAGAGATTAAAACTTGTCTCAGAACAGAGAAAGAAATTCCGTATCTCTCCTCTTTATAGTGTAACTGCATTAATTAGCTTTTAACTAGATGAAATAATACAGGGTAACCTGTCAGGACAACTTCATCTTGTGTACAGTAATGCATACTTCTCACATCCTGAGAGTCCATGATAAACATGCTCTAATATGAACTTGACATGATTGAGCCTCTCTTTTTCACTCCTTTCCAGAAGCTGAATTTAACCTTGTTAGATTGAAATGGGAATAAATAAACACACTTACTTAAAGGTGAGTGAGAAGTATGGCCACTGGAGATGAACTGGTTGGCTATTAAAGGCCAGACTCTTGCCTTGGTTAATTCACCACAGTTCAGGGGCCAGTTCACAAGGTTGTAGACTCGAAAACTTGCATTCTGAGGCTTTTTGACAGCATTCCTGGTCAACCTGCGTTTTAGGATGGATTAACATTAACCAAGCTCAAGACCCAGGTCTCTGTATCCAATTATATCAACATTTATTTATTCAACACGTATTTATTGAGCCCTATAAGGTGACAAGCCCTGTTCTAGGCACTGAGAATGGAGCACTGAACTTTGTTTTGTGCCATTATAGAGTGCACATTTTAATGAAGGAGTCTGACAAACAAATGAATATCTAATATCACCAGTAGGTGATAAAGGCAATAAAGGAAAATAGAGGAGGGGAAGAAGATAGTGAGAGATGGACAGGAAGAGCCCACATGAAATGAGAATATGAGCCATGTGAGGTCTGGGCAGTTTCAGAGGGAGGGAACAGCAAGTGCAAAGGCCCTGAAGTGGATACCAGCTTAGAATGTCCCAGGAACAGTAATGCCTACCTTCAGTAGACCAGAATGTTTTGGGGGCGAATAAAATCGTTTCTCTCCATGCAAGTCTTTTACCTAGAAAGCCATGTCACTATCCAGAGGCTAACTGGTGAGCGTGGTATCTGAACAAGTGGGGTTAAAGACCCAGTATCAAGGATTCCCTGCATTGAGCTGACTTAGTCTGAAGCATCTATCTGTACTTCTGCTTCACACCTCATCTCCTATGTCTCTGGCTAAAGATAGGATAGGCACTGGCAACTTCTGTTCCTTTGTTTTTAAATCAGGCTTAAGATACACTGATGAGTGGCTCCACCACTTATCAGCTGAGTAATACTGGCAAGTTCTCCCACTCTCTCTGTCTTTGCAAAGAGACATGATAATTTGCCCATGGACACACAGGCAGAAACTGTATAGAGTTTTTGACTGTTTCCTACCTCTCCCTGCAGTCTCTCAGGTCAGGTCCACTCTGGTTGAAAACAAAGTTGGTGGTCGCAATTAACCACAGAAAAGAAAAGAATCTGAGTGAACAATTAGAATTCAATCTGTCTTTACTAACAAGAGTATTGCCCTTTACAGCCTGAATTTTGAGCATACCCTTGTCTCTTAATACTGCTCCATCAGCTCACATCTGCTCAGGATGCTCCCTCTGACCTGCCCACAACTAGTCTTTTCCACAGGCATAACAGGCTTGCCAGATCAGAGGCTCAGGGTCAACACCATGGGCTTTTCCTATTAGAGGCTCTAAATTACCAACAGGCCATAAAAGGTCATGTCCTCACATGCTCACCACAGATCTCCTAACAGAACACAGAGCAGTATTTCCTCAGACTAGAAGACCAGCTGACAGGAATTCCAGGAGTCACTAAATTACTCATCTAATGATCTGATTCATGATTTATTTGACACATAACCAAGTATTCATGAAATTGTATTTAAAAATGCACCAGCCTATTTTCACTTATTTATTTATACCTCTATTTTATTTCAGAACACTTAATGCGGCTCTCAAGTCAACAACTTAAAAAAACACAGTTTTTTTTTTCCTTTCAAAGCAGTATTTCATACATTGCATCATTTTCCCCTCTCAGAACAGCTGGCTTTGCTGTCTCAATTTTAATGACGGGCACTTAGATGTGGAGGCCTCTGAGCTGTCCACGAGGAGTTTTCACAGACGTTACTTCACTCGATCACCTTCTCCCACCCTGCACGGCCGAAAGGGCACTCGTCCACCCTTGAGTCTGGGGAACTGGAGGTCAGTCGGGGGCCACATCCCATCAGACAAGCCGGTCTGGGTCAGGATATGAAATAAGCTAGGGGTCACGGTTAGGGACACCCTCTGGAGCAAGGACCTCCCAGCAGAAGCCCCCCTGGCATCTAGCCAGGGTCATCCACCCTCCCGGCAGATCCGCAGGACCACTAATAGGCAAAGCATCGAATCCCGCTGCAAGTCAATCAAGTTCAAGAGGCACCATTAGGACGCCCTCAGGTCAAGAACTGATCTGACCGCGCATCTACCAAGCATCTGGGCTCGTGCCCTCTGGGAGTGGCGGTTCTGGGGGTTCTTCCTGCCAAGAACCCTCGAGGCCCGATGGGCCTCTCCCAGCTGAAAACAGAGCTGACAGCCACGGTAGCAGCAAACCGGCTCACTGAACAGCCCCGAGCTGACTCACATTTGGGACTCGATAAATACTTGTTGTGTGCATGAGCAGTACACTTATTTACTTTCTTGAAATTGCAATAAAGAGGTAAGTGTCGGTCGCCTCCGGCCGCGAGCGAGCCACCTGCGACCGCAGCATCAAGGTGGAACCCCGGACTCCGAGTTCCCGCATCTTCACTACCTGCTTCGTACGGACCGCCCTTCCCATAGGCCCCGCCCCTTCCGCCGACCTCCCTCACGAGTCCCCGCCTCTTCCGCCGGCCCCGCCCCTTTCAGCCCACGTGTGGGCCCGAGACGTGCGTACGCTGCCTGTGCGTGTCCTCCAGCCAAGTCCCCAGTGTGTGGATCTCGGCGCGCCCCCGCCCTCTCGGCCATGGGGGTCCCGAAGAGGAAGGCCCCAGGCGGCCAGGACGGCGCGACTCCCCGCGCGGGCGCGGCCAAGCGGGCCCGCACCGAAGAGCTTACTGGCGTGCGCTTCAAGGCTCAGCTGAGGGACCCGCAGGGCGCGGGGGCAGGTGAGTGCGGGGGCCCGGGGCGGCGAACGCTTGCGGGCGAGGCGGCCTCTCGGCCTCTATCTGAATGGCTTCCGTGTGCAGACACAGCCGCTTCTTTCTGCAGCTTTTCTTACTGAGCGTCAGAGCCTAGCCTCCCGATTTGCTGTCGGGAAACCGAGGCCCGGGTGCTTGGGAGTCCAGGGCCCCGACTTGCTGGATTGTGACAGCTCCGTGCGAACACACACCTCCTTTGCCGGCTCAGCAACCCTCAGCAAGCTCTAAAACCTCTTTATTGCAATTTCAAGAGAATAAATAAGGGTACTACACATGCACACAACAAATATTTATCGAGTCCCAACTGTGAGTCAGCTCGGGGCTGCTGAGTGAGCCGGTTTGCTGCTACCGAGGCTGTCAGCTCTGTTTTCACTAGCTTTAATCCTCCTTCCAGTAGTCACCCTGACCTGGTAACATGTAATAAGCTACCGCACGAAGCCACCACGGGACTTGTCAGTTGACCAAGATTGGACTAGTTGACTGATACGGAGCCGATTCTCTAATTTCACTTTTTGAAAAGTGTGACCATCCTTCACAACTCCTTGTAACCCATTAAAAAGTATAAAGGTTTATGAAGACAAAACACAATTGAATACACCAGTGTGTGGAAACACTAGCACTGTGTCAAAATAAAAAAAAACAATAAATGTTTATTCTCAAGGGAAAAATTAAGTTAATGGTCAGAATATCCTCAATTTCTAGGTTGTCTTCCACAGATTTTGTTTTTATTTCTGTTAATTCTTAAATTTTTAATTAATTAATTAATATTAAATGGAAGTACAGCCACAATGTGTCAATTTCTGGTGTACAACAGATTTTCTTTTTAAACATTTGATACCTGCAACTGTCTACAACTGCCAGCTAGTGCTGGGAAGATAATATCTGCATTAGCACAGAACTATACATTTCATTCATTCATTCATTCATTTGTTTATTATTTACAAGGGGCTGTTATTTGCTAGAGTAGGGATAAAATGGTGAGTAAGAATCAGATACGGGCCTGCCATTGTGAGCTTATGAATAGTCAGATGAGAAGGCAGATGTAAATCAGTAAAGTTGCACACAAACTGTTTTCAGCACAAGTCCTTTAAAAGATAGGAATAGGAATCTTTCTGGTAGAAGAAAGAGTATATTTAATTATTTGAAAGGTTCTATCCATAGGCATATTCATGGTTTTGCCCAGAGAGCTCCATTTCTTTTGGGCCCTGCATTTGAACAGGTTTCAGAAGAAAACCAGGGCTGATGGGTAGTGGGCGCAGGTGAAGGAGCTGGGAGATGAAGCGGAGCTGAAGTTAGTAGGTGAAAGTGGGAATCCCTGTAGGAGGCGCTGCTGGATTTGTGTTTGAATCTGATCTCTATCTTGGATTCTCTCTCCATTTTGTTTCGTTCTCATAACTTCTGTGGTAGGCTCACCTGACTGAAGATCGGGAAGTGGAATTGATAAGTGTTAGGGGGTTTCATTTTCATCTAGATATTTGGGAAGGTTTTTTTTTTCTGTTGTGTTTTGTTTGTCTGGCTTTATTGAGATATTATTGACATATAACATATGTAAGTTTAAGATATACAGTGTGATGACGTGATACATATAGATAGTATGAAACAATTACAATAAGGTTAGTTAACGCTGCCATCCCCTTATATAATTACCACTTTTTTTTGTGGTGATAATGTTTAAGATCTACTCTCTTAATAACTTTCAAGTATATGATACAGTATTGTAACTGTAGTCACCACACTGTACATTAGATCCTCAGAACTTAAACATCTTAGAGCTATATGTTTACACCCTTTGACCAACATCTCCCCATATGCACCCCTCCCCAGCCCCAGGCAACCACCACTCCACTCTCTGTTTCAATGAGTTCGGCGTTTTTAGATTCTACATGTGAGTGAGAACGTGCAGTATTTGTCTTTCCCTGTCGCACTTTTTTCACTTAATGCCCTCAAGATCCACATATGTTGTTGCAAGAAGCAAGGTTTCCTTCTTTTTTAAGACTGAATATTTTATTGTATAGATTTCTGAATATAGATATAGATATACCACATTTTCTTTGTCAGTTCTCTGATTATACCCCCTTTGTGGTAGGGGTGGGGGGCAGGTAAGCAGGGTTAGATTGATAAAGACCCAGAGGGTGCTCGGGGGTGGATCAGCATCAGCACCAGGGAGGACCCCTGGATCAAGAAGGGTTCTGCCCTGGGCCAGTTCCTTTCAAAATTGTTGCCCATGACTTAACTGGTGACAGAGAAGGAGCCGTGTCCTAACCCTCAGTCTCCCCGTCTTCACACTGCTGCTCTTTTCTCCAGCTCAGAAAGTGGCAAGTCCCATCACCTGGATGTTCCTGCCAGGAATGTCACTCTGTCACAGTAGCAGCTGGGTTTTTTTTTTTTTTAAAAGAGACTGTCTTTGTTAACATCTGATCATAACTCTTCTTTCAGCCTTGGAAGCATTCGTTTCTGCTGCCAAGAAGCTACCACGAGAAGACGTGTATGACGTCGTGGAGGGGTACATAAAGATTTCTGTTGAGTGTGCGGAGATCTTCCAGCTCCTGAGTGGGGACAAGTGCCCTGAAAGTGAAGTATGTTACTCCTTACCTGGCCTGACGGAGAGAAGAACATGCCAATGCCACTGTTGTGTTAGGTTGATGAAAAGAAATGTGATATACATTTCTAAGATGTTACCCCCTTCCTACAGAAAGTGATGCCTTGTCCCTGTGCTGTAGGAATACATTCATTTTGACATCATGACCTTTGAAAGCATTTTAGTGAAAAGTGCTAACTTATTGGTGAATAATACTGGATGGAATGATTATAGATTCTTAATCTAAACGCACTTGTTTCACTGTGGTTTGCTCTGACAAAGGGGAAAAAGGTAAAAACTGTCACACAGTTTTTATGTCAACCAATACAGACTTATATTGAGTTGACATATATATTACTGTTTTCTGGTTCCAAAGAGGTTCAGAATTTGGGACGTTTATGAACCTGTTGAAGTCTCTGGATTATTGCTGTAAGGCTGTAGACCTGCACATCCCCAAAGTAGTGAGGCCCAAACATTCATATAAATTTCTCTTTTCATTTCACTTTGTTTAATTGTCAAGCAGGCTGTTCTCTGTTGAGCTAAACTGTGGACGCAGGACTAAGCTGTCAGCTTCCTGCGTTTGGCTCAGGATCTAGGTAGGCCCAGTCCTGCCAGTGGAAGGTTTGACACCTGCGAGTGACTGCGGCTAAGACAAGAGGATGACGTATGTAGAGGAGGGAAAGAAATGAGATGACTCATCAGTCTTTCCATTCTCTTTACAGATGCTTTCAATATTTCAAGTTTTCGAGGCCATATTGTTGCGGACAGCCGGTGATCTTTCCCATTTTCATGTTGTGGGAACCAACATTGTGAAAAAGCTAATGAACAATCACATGAAGCTCATCTGTGAGTCCCTGTATGCCTCGGGTTACAAGTAAGTTGCCTGCCTTTACGTGGCAGGACTGGCCTTGGGCTTGGTCTGCGCTCAGCTCTCCACGAGCGCACTTGCCCTTTCCTCCACCTGCAGATAGAGCGGAGCCAGTTCCAAGGCCTTGACTGTGGCTCTGCCCCTCCTTCCTCTGTTGACCGGCCCGTCACTGTCACTGACTCCTCTCCTCCCACGTGTCCCTCTGCTCCCGTCTGCTGCTCTCCTCACTGTCTTGGGAACACTCCAGACCTCCTTTGTGCCGCCTGTCCTTTTGCCCCAACGGCTCTTATCCGAGATCATCTCGGGCTCCCTCCCTGTCTGCCTTCAGGGCTTTGCAGAGGTGTCATCTCAAGGAGGCCTCCTCTGACCACCCCATCCATCTACAGTTTTATGTGTGATGTGACAGTCCATGTCAGTCTGTTGACTCTGTCTCCCTCCTCTTGAGTGCAAGGTGCATGTGGGTGGGGGCCTTGACCGTCTTATAAAATGCTGTCTTCCCAGCTCCTAAACAGTGTCTAGTACGTAGTAGGTGCTCAGCAACCACAGATTCTGAGTACCTGCAGGATGGAAAGGCAGCCCAGAGCTTGCTTTTGGAGATGCCCACCATGCGGAAGTCTTCTTCTGTGCCGTATAAAGGCAGGGGTGATGGGGGTCTCCCAGCTATGTGAGGATTTCCTGGAGACGGAAATTGCCATCTTCTTTGTATCTTGTGTCTTGTGTTCTTGGGTCCTCCTCAGACTCAGTTTTTTAGCTTTCATTGAAGATCTTGTTAGGATATTTTAAAGAAAGCATGTCTTCATGTCTCCTCCATTCTGTTTTCTGCTTTGGGGATAGCAGAGCACACAGCCAGGTGTGCAGTTGGCTCGTGGTGAGGTGGCTGTGTGCTCCTGCTGTCCTGACGTGTCTGATTTCCCTGTTGTCCCTGAACAGGATGGCCCGAGCCTGCCTGAACCTGATGGCTGCCATGGTGACCCAGGGTCCGGAGGCTGCCAGAGACGTCTGCAGCCATTTTGATTTGAATAAAAAGACCTTGTACACCCTGGTGACCAAGAGGGATTCAAAGGTGAGAGGCCAAATGTCTTGTACCCCTTGAGTGTTTCCATTGCCTTTGTGTGTCCTCTTCCCTCTGGCCTCGGTCCTCATGTGGATGGAAGGGAGGCTTCCCCATGGAGAGTCCGGGGCCTTGGCAGCCTCTGGGGTCCATGAGGAAGGGAGGCCTCTCGTGGCCGGTGGTGGGGCCCGGCTGCCTACAGAGCCTGAGTGACAGGGTCACCCGAGGATGGCTCTCTCAGGGCTCAGCATCGCCGGGCCTTCCTGGCCCGTGAGGACGGCTGAGCTTGTGAGATGGCCTCCAGGTGCCTCGTGGTGTGAACCTCGTAGTGTCCTGGCCACCTGCACGGGTTCTGTCCACTCTGCAGAAATCTGCTGCAAGGCTCAGCCAGTGACATCACCAAAGAGGACACTTAATGGCTTTTTAATACATTTCTTGCGCCTTCCAATTATAAGTCTTCTAATGAGTAGGGGCTCCTTTGTGCCAAAGAGAATGGAAGTGTGAATGGCTGGTTTTCAGAAGAGCTGTCTGAAAAAAAAGTTTCTTGGTGACTCCAGATTTTTCACTCAGGTTTGGTTCCTGAGGAAGAAGCACAAGCTTCAGGACTCCTGAGCTGGTGGAGGGGCGGCCTCCCGCCCGCGTGCCGGCTACAGGCTGTCCAGGCCTCTTTCCGCGAGCCAGGCTGGCCCTCCCTGCCGTCGCCCCGGTGCTGTGGCAGCCCTGGCCTCGTCCTCCACACCCTCCTAAGCGGAAGGACCAGGCCACCCGATGGCCGCCTGTCCGCCCAGGCGGAGAGCCATGTTGGAGTGGTGGACTTCTGCAGCTACGTGTGACCTTGCTCTCTGACTTCCTGGGAGTTGAGAGCTTCTGCGTGGCGGGGAGGGTATAGCTCAGTGGTAGAGCTTAGCATACACAAAGTCCTGATTCAATCCCTGGTCCTGCCTCTAAAAATAAATAAACAAGTAAACCTAATTACATCCTCCCCCGAAAAAATTAATTAATTTAGAAAAAGTTTCTATGTTGCCAGGTTGTAGACTAAGTTAATCATCCAGGTAACAGCAGGTAATCTTACAGCCCAGTGTTGAGGGTTTTCCTGGAATTACGAATAAGGTTTTCTCTGAGGAGGACATTTCCAGGTCCTAGTGTTTCATGAATACTGTTCTTTATTAATGTGTCAAAGGTTCCGTTTAATGAGTAATGGCTCCTGGCATTTAAATGCGTATCTAATGAAAAGAATGTGCGTGCTGTTTGCACACTAGGGCCAGTATCTTGGCTCTTTGGTCTCACCTGGCCGTCAGCCTAGCAGTAATGACCTATCAGAATCCCTTCTCCTTCCCCGTCTCACCCCCAACCAGCCCAGCCATTAAGTAAAACATCCGGCGGTAGATAGGCCACCCGCCAGGGCACAGCCAAGGCACAGCGTGGGAAAGCCCGGCCTGGACCCCAGCCTGGCCCCGCTGCCGCTTCCTCTCGTTATTTTACATCTTTCTTGATCTGTCAGACAGGGGTCATGGTCAAAAGGAAAGCGCTTTTATTTTCTTTCATTCATCGTCTGTATCAAGTATCTTAAATACTTTGCAGGCTGTAGGAAATAGTTTCTAGATGTTATAAAACAATTTTTTTTGCATATAGGAAATGTGAGGGACCTTGAGAAATAGCAGCACAATGAATCCCCACGTACTTGACATCCAGGTTCACAGGCTGTCAGCTCTCCCGCATTTTGGTTTGTTGTGGGGCAGCCAGCCTAGCACAGCATATCCCACATGTGGATCGTATTTCACTGTGAATGTTTCCATGTGCATCTCTGATAGTGCCTTCATTGTACCTGACACCTTGAATAGTTTCTCAGTACCACCTAGTGCCCAGCTCAGGCTCTGCTTTTCCCCAACTATCTCAAAAATGTCTTTATACCTCCTGGTTCACATCAAGATCCAAATATGGGCCCCACGTTGCCTTTGATTGATACCCTTCTTAAATCTCTTCTTATCTTTGAGTCTTCTGCTGCTCCCTCACCTTTTTTTTTTGTTGTTAATGCCATTTAGTTATTCAAGAAGCTGGGAGATATTGTTTTTTTTTATGAGTCTGTTTTTCACATTTTGGAAGGAGTTATTAAAGCCTCATGAAGAAAGAGGATTATGGATACTTTTTCATCCAAAGAAAGCATTGTTAAAAGTCCTGTGCCCAAGAGCAGTTTTACCAAATATGTTTTGGTCTATTTTAGACAGTGTTTTGCAGAACAAGCCATAGAGATCAGGACACTTTCTTCCTGGGATAATAACCCTGTGTCGTAACAGGGTAGGAATGAGGAGTAGGCTTGCAGCCTTCTTGCCTTTGATGGAGTTGCTGCAGCCGGGGGCGGAAGGTCGAGGGCAGTGAGGGACTGTGGTCAGGTGGCCGAGGCCTGGCGGTGGCTGCATGAAGGAGGAGCAAAGGCTGTGTCTTGGGGGTTTTGTTCTCTACAATGTCAGGAGCCAGAAATTTGGGCTTCTCTGGGATACAAGATGGATGCTAGGAGGGGAGAACTAAATTCCACTTCAATTCAAAATGTGTTGCTAGAGGCACTTTTAAGAGGATCTGATCCAACCCTGCTGTGTGCACACAGGACAGAAAGACCCGGAATGGCAGGTCGGGACCAGCATCCCAGGGGCCTGACCCCCAGTACTTCAGTGGAACCAAAAAAACCCAAAACTGTGGAGCCTTTCCAACTGACTGGGAAAGGATAAAACCTAATTTAATTTTACCAGGCAAGTTTTAGCATTTTGCCAGAATTCTTTTGCAGTACAGAGACCAAGACAACAAGCTAACTGTGCTTGAATTAAGTGGCACATTTATTTGAAAGATGAGGTGTCTGGATAGGCTGGGAGCAGTGGTTACTCGAAGCTTCCTGAGGACAGGGACAATGTAGTAGTCATCTTTTGCATCCTCTCGGTCTGGGGTTATGGCATCTTGAGTGTAATTGGTGTTTTATTAACATTAAGTTGGTGCGTGAAGGCACCAGAGCACTGCTGAAAGTGCAGCTCATTTTCAAGACTTTAGCGATCATTGTCCCTAAACTCCATATTGTGAAGAGGACCACAGAATGGTCCCCAGACAAGAGGATAGTGTGCAGCTCTTAGTGTATCTGGAATAAAGCAGCATCAGTCTCACAAGGTCTTGCTGAAGTGCCTGTGGTTTGACTGGAAGGAAACTCAGAAAGTACAATGAACGTGCAAGGCCCCACCAGGTGTTATAGAGCATAGGTCAGGTGTTCGTTCTTTTCTCCAGAAGAAACATACTCAAAACAAGACAGAATTAAAGACTCATGTAGATGCCTAAATGGTGCCAAGTATGGTCCTTGCACCCTGAGAGGTGGTAGAGTGAAGATGCCATGGGAGCCCTGAGAGGAAGGAGCTACTCTCTAGGCAGACATGTGGTCCAGAGTGAAGCAGTGTGTTTGTACAGTGACTTCTTACGTCCCAATCCCAGTGCTTACTCAGTTAGTAGTTGTGTAACCTTAAGCTTTGAGTTTTCTAAACCTCGGTTTCCTCATCTGTAAAATGGGTATGGTGGGCATCTGTACCTCAGGTTGCTGTAAGGAGTAGCCGAGATAACAAATGTGCAGCATTTGACAGTGTCTGGCACATGGTAAGTGCTCAGTGAGTTTTTAATGTCATCGTCACTCCTGCCACCATCTCTGCTGCTACTCCTGAGTGGAGTGGGACTCTCTGGAAGGCAGAGTCTCCTTCATCTTTTCAGGCATTCAGGGCAATAGTTCTCCATAGTATCAACTTATTTCTTGTCAGAAAAGTGCCTTCGGAATGACTATGACATAAGAAGTTTTCAATTTAAGCAGTGGAAGATCGAAGCGTATGTGCTGGTTCTGGTCCAGCTGACAAGAGACCTGCATGACCACATGCCGTGGGTTCTTTGGGTGGAAAACAGGAATGTTGAAGACACAGGTTTGTCTGAAAGTTACTGGGAGGGGAAACTGATCAGGTGGCCCACTTCAGCTTCCCCTGAAGTGTTGGCTGCTGGTCATGGCCTTTGGGCCCTGGTTGAGGATGCCCACTGTCCTGGGTCACGGCTGATGCCTGTGGGACAGCGCAGACTGCAGCCCAGGGAGGGCTATGCCAGCTTTGTCACATGACAGCATCTGTGCGTTGGTGTCAGGTGTAGATTTAGAATATCTAATAAAGACCAGACATCACGTCATTGGTGTTTCATCAAAAGCAGCACTAGACTTTCCATTATCTCTGGATTTTATAAAAGATAGATACATTGTTTCATTAAGTGAGAGTACATGGTATCTAGACAGGTATTAGGCACTTTACTGAAGTGGTCTGTGAGCTAAAAATGTGTATTATTACAGTTGGCGGAGGGGACACCTCTACTTATGTATTTAGAAAGAGCTTGACAGAGAAGGAGAAATAGAGCAGGAGACTGAGGGGGAAGGAGCAAAGGAGAAACCCCTTTGTTTCTGTAAAGAGCTGAGAGTGGTTTTAGACTTAGACCCTCCAATGGCACAAGCCTGGGAGGACTTTGTGACGTTGGGACGGGACGTGTGTGCCTTCCTCCATGGTCCTGCTTCCTCGGGTTGTGTTTGGATACATCTGTGACACGTGTCTCCTTCATCCCCCAGGGAGTGCCTGACGTCCGGCTGGCCTACATTCAGTTTGCCCTTTCCTTTTTGATCGCCGGCGATGACAGCACAATTGGGCAAGTGCTGGAGTTGAAAGGTAGGTGTGCCTCTTTGTCTCGGGGTGAAGCCAGCTCATGGTTTTGAAAAACTTACTGGAAAGCGTTTTGCAGGTTAAAAGAAGCCTGCAGCCTTGGTGGCCGCAGAGTGCGCCAGGACCAGAGGTGCATGTGCGGTGGGCCGTGGTCAGTGTGATTTTGATACCGCCGCTCAGCGTGGACACAGATGTCCCTGCTCTGCTCTCTGCGGTGCTGAGCCGCATCCTCACCGAGGAGAAACCCAAACCTCAGGGACTCATGCAAACACAGGAGGCTTTGTGTCTCCAGAACATACGTGGATTCCCAGCCTGGCTACCTGGCTTTCCTTAGTAGTTGTGTTTTTAAAAAATAAAGTTTAACAACTTTGATGGCTTTGCCCAGTGTTACGAGAATGTCAGTAGTAGAGCTTCAAAGGTTTCCAACTGGACCACCTCCTGGTGCCTGTCTCACTAGGGCAAGCTGGGCATGGCATGGTTTAATCTGTTGGGGCCGCTTGCATTTTAGCAAGAAGTTCAGGATGACAGTAAGTGGCAGCGCATAGACGGTGCTTAGCATGTGCAGTCGTTCATTGAGGTCCCCCAGGGTCATACCCTGTCTGCAGGTGGGGAGGGGCTGGTGTCCTGGCTGTGCTCTGGGCCTCACGGGAGGAGGAACAACATGGTGCTGTGATTCAGTCTCCAGGCTCCCCTTGCCTCCCCCAGCTTGGGAGACCCAAGCCCCCTCCACAGCCAGCTGCCAAGACCCTTTATGAGCAGGTGTGGGTGGCACTTCCCCACATGTTGTCGTCCCTGATCTGCACAGGTTGCCCTGTTGCTGTCGGGGCGATGCTGCCTTTGCAGGTGCAGCTGACAGGTCTTCCCTGATGGTTGCCTGGTCGGGGTGCCCTCTGCTGCCAGGGCTGGGTCTTTCTGCAGAATCCCCTTGGGTCTTCTCAGCATCTGGCCTTTTATTCAAGGAGAGTGGTTTGGGGTTTTCCGTCCACCCTGCTGCAGGGCAGGGATGCACTTCAGTCAGTGTTCCTGCAGAGCAGTTTGGCCAAAGGCATCTAAACGTGTACAGTGTGTGATCCAACCACTCCGCGCCTAGTCATTTATCCTAAGGAAATAATTAAGGATGTGAATAGAGGTTTTGTTATGGGATATTTTTTCATATTAGCTGAAAATTGGACTCCTAACTACCCACCAGCAAGGGATTGATTAAGTGAATTGAGGGCTGGTCATAAGGAGCAAGGCAGTTGTTAAAAATGATGTAGAAATGTACTTACTGATATCAGATTTTTAAAGGATGTATGATTGGGTGTAAACTCACTTATAAAACTGTAAAGTATGACCCCATTTTACTAAAAGTTAAATTTAGCAGAATATGGATCTATCAGAAGGTTAACGGTCAGCCAGTAACCCAGATAGTAACAGTGTTAACCTCCAGGTAGTGGAGGAATGGTTTATTTTAAGTTTCTTTCTTTCTTTCTTTCTTTTTTTTTCTTTTTCTGGTATTTTCTCATTTTTCTTTTTTCTTTCTTTCTTTTCTTTTCTTTTTTTTTTTAAGAATAATGAACTTGCTTTTGTAGAAATTGCGTGTGCCTGTTAAGCATGTGTGGAGCAAGAGAAATTGTAATTGCTGTGATGCTGTTGACTAGTGTCACGAGCACATTAGTAGTGACGCAGTGCCAAGCCATGGTGACTGACTCCCTCGGGGATGGGAGGTGAAAGCGAAGCAAACAAATCAGCCCAGATTCTCCTGCCAATCAGTGAACTGAAAACCATCCTTGTAAATACATCTCTGAGCAGGTCTAAGCAGAGAGAGAAACGTTGGAAAACTGTAACCATACCATACATTCTCTTTCACACCATGAATGTTAAATTAATTTTACTAAAATTAGTGTGAAAACAGGAAAGTAAAACAGAACTAAAGCACTGTTGAACTTTAGTAATAGTTCATTGTTTTGTCTTTAAATATTGACTTCCTGTCACAGAAATCATTTTTCCTACTGTGAACTTGTATGATTAAAAAGAAAAAACTTAAAAAAGAACCAAGTAAATGGCATTGTTTGCTGTACTGTTGTACTGTTTAAAAAGTGATGTTCTCTCATCTGTTCTCATATTTGAAGTAATGTTGAGTTTAATACTTTGAAACTTTTACTTTCAGAATTTATTCCTTGCATTTTCAGTTCAGGCATAAAGGAGGACAGGATTTCTACCATCAATATTATGTTATCCACACTGAAAACAAAGGTACGTGTGTGGTGATGAAGGCTCCTCTCATTTGTTTGCTCTGACGTTTTGCGGGACTGTAGAGCCATGGGTTATGCAGGTTTCTTGGGAAGCCGGTCTGGCAGTGTGTGTCAGAGGTCTTAAAAATGTTAGGACGCCCAGGTGGAGGGTGGGAGGTTGCCTCAGAATCCCCAGGGAACGTACTTGAAATACATAAACCCTGTCAGAGGTTCGGGGTTTGAGGGGTAAGTTTGGGTGGAGCTGAGAATTTGTGCCGTAATTCCAAGTCCATAGTCAGGGATGCAGTGTGGACTTTTTATAAGGATTCTGTCATAGCCAGAGTTTGGAAGTCACCTAACTATACACACCCAGGGAATAATGGTGAAATAAGTTATGGTCACTCATAGGCTGAAGGATATCCAGCCCCCGAATGAGGCTCTAAAGGAATTTTAATGATGTGGAGACAGCTCGTGCTGTAAGTAAAAATAGACACAAAACTGTATGAAAATATAATCCCAAAGAGACCAAAAAAAAACCCACCCCAGCAAAAACTTAATACTACGTACACATGTGTATTTTATGTGTGTTTAGGGGTCAGGGAGGCTGAAAGGAAATACATCAAAATGTGAACTGTGGGTGTTTTAGGATGGTGGTAATATTGGTGAGTTTTATTTTCCTTTTTATGTTTTGTTTTGTTTTTGGCTAAGTATTTTGCCATAGAGCTATGTTACTTTTATAATGGCCAAAAAAATAAACACCATTTGAAAAATCAAATTCCTTGCAATTCATTTTTTTTTCCTATTATTTTCAGGTAGTTCACAATAAAAACATCACAAAAACCCAGAAGGTGCGTTTCTTTTCCGGGCAAGTGCTGAACCACATAGCATCTCTCTACAACTGGAACGGGATTGTCGACGTGAGCCTGGAAAATATCGAGGTACAGTCGCCTCTGGTTTCACTTGGCCTCGCTGTTAGTGTGTGGTACCCACAGCTGGGAGACTGAAGAATCTGAACCTACACCTGCCTTTAAAAAAGTCTCTGCTTTTGATCTGTTTCTTTTGCCTTGTGGTTACATTAATTCTCCACTTAGATGCAATATGATTTTCAAATTTTTTTATTTTACAATAAGATTTTTTTTCTATCTCTGAGGTTTCATGCTAGTAAATTTTTTTCTTTTTCCTAAATGAGAACACTGTTATTCCCTTTGGCTGAGTGACATCTTAATTTTCCCTGCCAGCGTGCCCAGTAGACTGACAGGGGTGATCCTGGCTCCCTCCTCCTCCTCACTTTCCTCTCCTCCTCCTTCCATTCTTTTCACATCCAGCCGTTGGCATTTCAAGGCCTGTTGCTTTTATTTCAGGATCCTAGGGAACCTCAATTTCCTCACCTACTGACATGTGTAGTTTGTTCTGTAACAAGTGCTAAATTATGACAGTTGCTCTCATATTGATCCAAAGCCAGTGTATCTTTTAATTCTCCTTGTTTTGATTTTCCTTGGGTGTTTCTCAACATGGACTTGGCCGGAGTTGTGGAGGCTCAGACTTCTTGTTGATTTCATAGTAATTTACCTCTCAAGAGCTCACTATTTTACTCCCTTTTATCTTCATGCCTTGCCCACGTCCTCTTGTTTTGAACACATTTTGTTCGTTCTATAACCAGGAGGCCTCAGGGGCTTAATAAAAACACTCCCAAAATGGAATTTTACTCAAAAGAGCAAGAGAAATTAAGTCATTCATAAGCTTGTTTAAAAATACAGGTTTAAACCTGCCCCTCTTAGGAGTATTTTTTTGATCTTTATTTTTTAATGATTCTATTTAATAGGTGATGACATTCAGATTCAGGGGGTTAAGTGATGCTCTCATTCCTGGTTACATTGTGATGCTCAGACCCCATCCTGAAGCTCTGCAGGAGCCCCTTTAGAGTTGCCTCATTAGAACGAAAGATACTTGTATCATCTGGGAAATCCCGAGGGATTTAGAGCTCCGTGTGAGACATGACTCTCATCCCATCACTCAGGAAATTATAAGGGTTTTAAGAGCTCTATGCCAGGAACTGGGGACAACCACCAAATATTTATTTTTTAATTATGTCACAGTATCACAATGCAAAAGCAAGAAAAAGCTTAGAAAAACATTTTCTATTTAAAGCATATGTTGTGGCCACTAATACTGATCTGCTCTGCACTTCCTAGCGCAGTGATGACTTAGCTGCCTGATCCACAGTTTGCTCATATGTAAAATGGGTGTAATCGCGTCTGCGCTGCCAGACTTACAGGGCTGCCGTAAGACTTAAATGAGAACCCTTATTGTGAAGTGCTGGGAAACAAGAAATGACATAAAATCTCAAGTTATCTGTAGTTTCTTGTTGTTCCAGCAACTCCCTGTTTATTCAACTTTAAAAAGAAAAAACTTTAATTCAGTTTGTTTAAACTAAAAGAGAAATAAACAAATAATCAAAAAACCCCAGTTGACTCATTCCCCTGCCCCTCCGACCCCCACCTCTGACAACCACCAATCTTCTCTCTGTGTCTCTGAGCTTTTTAAAAAATTATTATTTTATTTATTTGTTTGTTTGAGATTCCACATATAAGGGAGTGTTTTTTAAGTTTGATTGGTGTTTCTCTTTTGACAGGTGGTGGGGAGTTGTTTGGTGTTGAATTAGACCAAGTGTCTAAAATGTTGTCTGAGTTGCCATTAGGTGTGTGATTTTGTCTAGTTTTCACTCTGGAGCTGTTACTAAGGCTTATGAACTTGGGGTTTTCATTGAATTTTTTTTTAACCCTCATAGACTTCTGCTGAAGACGCAGGGAAAGCCATGGTGCGGGAGCTCGTGCATAACTTCCTGACAGACCTCTGCTGTTCACTCAAGCACGGGATTAACTTCTATGACGCATCTCTTGGTACCTTTGGCAGGTAAGTCCTGAGTGTGTGTTCCTTCCAGCGGAAATCTGTCAAATGATGGATTAGAAGTAGGTTAGAACTAGAGTTTTAGACAGTAAGTCTCGTGAACCTCTGGGGACCCAGAGGACTGCTGTTCACTGTGTGCCCTCAGGGCAGCGTCTCAGGGTCACAGCTGACTTAGACACACAGTATGTGGTGTGTCACCCAGGGAGGTGCTGTGTGTGTTCACCTGGGGATGGTGGCGTCAGCTGGATCTGCAAATAAGTCTGTTACGTCCACCTTCCCAGAGACGGTGGGCCCCACCATGGGCCTCACTGCAGTCCTGAGGTGGGTACCACTGTTACCCCAGTTTTGCAGATGAGGGAACTGGGCACAGAGCAGTCAGGTCACTCGCCCTGTAGGTGGCAGAGCTCAGACTGGAACCTAAGAAATGTGGTTCCAAGCCCGTGTTCATGACAGCTAGTCAGTCCTCCCTGTCCTCAGGGATGGCTGCTGAAGAATTAGAATTTCAAAGTTTTGTTTTTACATTTTGTTTCATACTTTACCATTATGGTAACATTTCATCAGTAAGGAAACATAAAGTCTACAGCTAATGGTTTAGATTCTGTTCTTCCAGACTTTCTCTTTAGAGCCATAGATCTATAATACATACCATGTCATTATTTTTTAAACCAAAAAGGCCTCCAGTTGGATATATTGTTCATCAGCCTGCTTTTTTCCATTTGACAATAAAAAATATTGGACTTATTTCCTGGTCATTGTAAATGACCCTTAGTTTTAACCCCTTGACATTTTATTTTAAGGACAGAGACGGTTTGATTTCAACCAGTCAGGAAACAACTGATTCCTTCATCATGGGGTTAATCTGGTGGGAACTTTTCTCTTTGCTTGTGGCTTTGAACTTGGTTCTGTGGCTGTTGTGAATTAACTTGCCTCATCATTTCTTTTTCTTGTAACTTTGTTTTGGTCGTAGTGTAGCTTTTCTCCCGGTAAGAATAAGCTCATTTTCTTGCTAAAATGAATCAGCAGGCTTTGACAGTCTAATGTACTGTAACACCATGCTTCAAACACGTTTTTCCTGTTAAGTAAACCCATATTGAATCAACTTGTGGGTGTGGGTCGTTGGAAATAAGCTGTGGGTTATGTAGAATTTTTCAGCCATGGGCAAAAAACAAATGTTTGTGCTAATGGGGGACGGAGGGCATTTTGTTTGTGGAGTGTTAATGGAAAGCTTTGAGAGGATTGAAATGCGTGGTTTCCCAGCGGTTGTAAAGCTCCCTCCTTTCCTTCAGGTTTCTAGGTAAATGTCGCCTTCTCTGGCAGCCCTCTTCTGAGATAGTCCTTCCACTGTCACTGTCCTTTGGCCTGGCCCTTGCTTCTGACAGGGACTTACCACCGCCTTGCGTATTTGTTCGTCCTTTCGTTCATTACCCAATAGGCAGGAGTCGGTGAGAACAGAGGCTGGTCTGTTTTGAATCCGCAGTGCGTAGGACAGTGCTTGGCACATAGTAGGTGTTGAAAGTGAGGCATTAGTGTGTGGGCAAGGGTTGGCAAACCTTTTCTGTTTGGGGCCAGATGGTAAGTATTTTAGTCATGGTGAGCCATGTGGTCCCTGCTGTGACCACCCAGCTGGGCCGTTGTAGGACCAAAGCAGCCGTGACATAAATGAGTGATGTAACTGGTTCCAGTGAAGCTGTATTGACAGAGGCGGCTGGTGGCCAGAGCTTGCAGCCCGCCGTTTGGAGGTTCAGAGAGCAGTTTTTGGAGTGGCTGTGAGACCTCAGCAGGTTACTCCTCTCTGCCAGTGTCGCCTCGTCTGTAAAGTGGAAGTACGCTTACTGCCCACCCTAGAGAGAGGTGGTGTGCGCTCGCTGCCTCGAGCAGCATCTGGCATGTACTGCAAACTCTGTGGGTATAAACGCTGTTCATTTTATTAAATCATTTATTAAAATTGTGTGTGTGTATGTGATATTTTGGGCACTCTTTGCAGATTCAACATTCCATTTATTTGAAAGCATCAAGTATGTTTTGCTTATGAAATTTTCCTATGAAGAATTTTAAGCTTATTATAGAATAGCTTTCCGATCAAAATTGTGCTTTTTCTAATTCAGTTGTTGAAAACGTTTCTTATCTGTAAAGTGTCATATTGCATTTATAAGAGACCGCAAAACAGTGATTATCCTAGAAACCAGCAACATGACATGCCAGTGAGGCGCTTTCTGAGGCTTTTCTGGATGTTACGATTTTCCAGGGACCAGCAGACAGGAAAAGGGACCTTTTCTTAAAAGGGAGCTGCGGGTAGAACCCAGAGTCCTGGGGGTTTGACCACGTAGATCCTGGGCTAGGTGCTCACTTTCTTTAAGTTGTAATATCTGCAGGTTTTCCTGTTGTTATCATCTTATGTCTTTGAAAACTGCTCACTTTGGGACAAATTTTGACTATTTACATACAGTAGATCCCGCGCGCCTCCCCCCCATATTAGCTTCCTTCAGTGTCTAAGTGAAGGTGTATGAATTTGAAATAAGCTAGAAACAGAGAAGGCAGAAGACCTGTGGAAAAACTGTGTGCCTTCTGGCTGAGTTCTAGAAGTAATTTTGAGGCGCTCTGAACTGTGGCAATTCGTAAGTACTTCATAGGAAAGAAAAACAATGTAATCTTTTCAAAAGCAAAATACATTCTCTGTATTTTTTTATACTTAACACACACATCTTTACATACTTGCTTTTTCATGTGTGGTTGGAGGAACGAGGTCAGGAAAATCACAAAAAGAAATTTTAAAATTTACGCTCGCCTTGACTTATAGCAGACTGAAGGTAGCTGGGGAGAAGGGAGGCTGGATTTATTCCTCTTCTTTAAAAGTCAGGTGGAACTCGAGGTGGGGAAGGAGAGATGGGGAACAGGACAAAATAGAGACTTTTTTAGCCACTCCGAGGTAGAGGAGTGAAGTTGAGGCTTTGGGGTGGAGAGCGAGATCCCCACAGACCAGGAGAACATCCCACTTTTGTGCCGCGAGGGAAATTCACCGGAAATGAAACTTGCCCATCGCTGTGTTACAGCCGTGTTCACTGAGGCCGATTCCTCAGGATGGAGCTGCGCGGCACCCTGAGCTCTCCGTGGGCCGTGAAAGCTCTCTACTCACCCTTTCTCTGCTCTCTCTCTGACAGAGGAGGGAACCTGACCCTCCTGCACTTCCTGTTGGGTTTGAAAACCGCCGCAGATGACGAGCTGGTGGCTGAGCTGGTGGTCAGCATCCTGAAGGTGTGCCCTGACCTCCTGAACAAGTATTTCAAGGAAGTGACGTTTTCCTTTCTCCCAAGAGTGAAGTCTACTTGGTTAAATAATATCAAACTGCTAAACAAGGTGAAGCCCATGGGTGTTTTGAAGTCTCCTAGATGGGGTCGTGGGCGGGGTGTGTGGGGTTGGGGGTACAAGCTGGTGTGGGGGGTGACATTCTGATAAACTCTGCGGGATGAAGACCTGCCTTCAGCCGTTCTTCAGGGGATATGTTAGATGACATCTTCATCCTCTGAGAACGATTTGCTTTTCACTGAGCTGAATTTTGAGGTTTATGCTTTTGAATCTGCTGAGCCAATTTCATCGTCTTCATCCATATTTTGCTTGGAGTGAGATCTGGATGACTTCCAGCAGTTAGGCTGGAATTAGTGAAACATCTGAACTGTAGGATGGTTTTTAAAGATTGCTATTTCAGGTACTTGCAACAGCCTGAAATAAACTGTGAATTATTTCACAGTCTGTTTGACTGTGGCTGTTTGTTTAAGTGGATGTGAATTCATTTCCTTCTGATCATAGATGTCAACCTCCCCTCATCTACCAGCTACACAAATTCTTTGGCAGTACTGCCTCGGTCAGTTCACACCTCTCTCTCTCCTCTCCTTTCTCTCGCCCGTTGGAGGGCTGGATGTGAGTCCTTCCACCTCTGCCTTCCAGCCTTCTGGCCCCAGGGGTATCTGTCACTCTCACTGAGGTCTAGTTTTGTCATCTGTAAACATTGTTTATTTTGAAATAAAGTTTCCCTGCCCCAGAGCGTTGTCATGAAGTGTTAAAAGATGACATAATTTGTCAGGTGCCTGTCAGGTGCAGCAGCCGATGAGTGAGTAATCCGTTTGTCAGTTGTAGCAGTGACTCACTTGCCACCAGAGGTTTTAAGAGGCTTCAGAGACTGCAGGCCAAGCTCTGCTTTGAGGGCCTTGGGAGCGCCAGTCTTGTGACCTGACTTGATTTTAACAAGTGGGTTTTGGGGTTGATCTTCTGGGTCCTGTTCCTTGTGGGAGCCTTGGTCCTTTATTGCTATCATTGATTCCTTGGAGCAGCTCACTGTTGGGTGCCTACAGTTAGGCTCGGGTCTGAAAGTTAACTTCCAGTGCCAACTCATTGTCTGTTCCCCCTCCATAGATCTACGATGCCCAGCCGGACATTTCCCGGGCATTTCAGACCAAAGAGTTCATCCCCTTGCCTCGGCTTTTGACGATGGTGATGGTGACCACCGCGCCCGTCGTGTGCAATAAGATCATGTTCACCCAGGCATTGAACGTGAGTGGGTACCCTGCTTCCAGACTCCTTCCCGCCCACCCCACTGGCTGTGCTGGGGGTGGTTCTGAAAATACCAGCCTAGACGTATTGGATCGTGTTTAGTGAGCCTCTGAGACTTTCCACATGTCCATTCATCTGAGAAAGGGGTCCTGGGGTCTGAGGCACATTTCTGCTGTGGGTTGGGAGGGTGAGGGGGTGTCTGCTCAGCTCCGGCACGGAGCAGGACCACTGGATCCCTGCATCTCGGCTCTGGGCCTTTCCGAGGGTAGGAGGGAGTCAGAGGAAGGGAAGTGTGTCCAGCTCCAGCCCAATGTCATGTGTTAAAGTCTCATTAGGATTTCTGGACAGGATGGGACTGAAATTTACCTAGCAAATCCTTTCTTTTGTGGTTTAAATGAATAGTGTTAAGTTTTCTGGGGAATATTTACTTTGAAGAACAGCTGTTTTAGGAGTTTGAGGAAGGATGTGTTTGTGGAAAAAATGGATACCTGCATTCCATATCACTGTTTATTATAAAGGTCCCCAGGTCCCATCAGAAGGCCACTGTGAGGGACTCATGCATTTTTCACCATAGCATCCTGGCCTTAGGTGAACGTCTGTAAGGTGTTGGCACCCATGGGTCCTGGTCCTGCCAGCCCCTCCTAAACCTAGGTTGCCTCACTACCTACCTGGGGGAGGCCAGGTGTGCAGAGGGATGCAGGGCCTGGGGTTTCCATTGGGCAGGTGGAGACCCCATCCTGTGTTACGTGAACACAGCAGGACCAGGGTTTGCTGTGGTGGGTTGGCCTCGTAGGCCCTGGTGGCGATGGGGCTGTTTCTGCGAAGTGGCGCACACTCCTCGGATTGTGCGGTGAGATGGGGCGTATTTTGATACCTGTCCAGGGTTTGTGCTGACAGCAGCCGGTGGGGTGCGGGGTCGAGAGAAGGAGGCCTGGGTGGGACCAGGCAGGAAGGCCTTTTGTTCTGTTGCCAAACCCTAATAACCAAAGTTAGGTCCCAGGTGGCTGGCCCAGCTGTTCTGTGAGAGACACCAAATAGTTTATCTCAAGGGACCTGCAAGAAAGTGGAATTGAGAGGAGGTTGTCTGGAGCTGCCTCCTCCTGGGAGGAAGATAACTCCCCTGGCTGCATTCAGGGTTCCCTTCGAGCTGATGCCGGGCAGTCTGGGCTAGAGAGGCTGTCTTGCCCCCTCTCACACTCCTGTTTCACGGGAGAGGGGTTGTGCCCCTAGGATGTGCTCCGTCCTCTGGGTAGAGAACACAGCCTTCTGTCCTGCGGATGCTACCGTCCTGTGCAGGCCCGTGTGTGGCCATCAAAGGGGAAGCCGCAGCTCTGCCTTCCCATCGGCGGCCCTTTCTGTGCTGACAGTGTGTTCGTACAAGTGACACCAGTGACAGGTGTGTCTTGGGGTGGAGTTACGATTGTGTGGGGTTTTTTTCTAATGACATTTTTCTTTTATTCTTTATGGTATTATCTGCAAAATTTTAATAGCATACATTTTAGAATCGGAAAGAAAACAGTGAAGTTATTTTAGAAACAGGAAACAAGAAAGTGTTTGGAGACAGGGTCTCAGGCTGTTGGGTGAGCCTTGTGCTCTAAGCCGGTGGGTTTACATGTGAACACCTGTTTGGGTCCTACCTTTGAAGTGGTGATGGGTTGGGAGTCATTCCTGGTTTAGGACATTTAGCATAGTGCTACTTTAGTGTACAGTGAACATGTGAAATGAGCCCCCAGCTAACTGGACGGCTGAGGGGATGGGTGTTATTAAACTAAAAGTACATCAGAAAACCTTATTGTTTCTATCTGGCTGTGAAGCTCCAGTATCCCAGCCGGTGCTCTCAGGACTTCCCTGCCCTAGGGAATCACCTGGAGCTGATGGTGTCGGTCTGGTTGGACCCTGAGATTGAACGTGTCTCCAGACGCCCAGGAGATGCCCTCACTGCTGCTGGCCCAGGACACACTGCAACTAGCTGGGCCCCAGCCTTCCCCGCTTTGGGTAGCAGCACGGGTTCTTGACCCTTATTCAGACTCTGCAGTGAGTTCAGACCTTGAAGGCCCGCCTGGCTGTCGTTCTGAATCCAGGTAGAGAGTCTGGATGTGGGAAGCCTGTGACGGGGCTGTGCTCCGAGCCTGGAGACGGCTGTTCCTGCTCCGGTTCCTGGCACCTCTGCCCGTCACCCTCCACCTGAGTGCTTTTCAGGGGCTGGTCGGCTTCTGGTGGGCTCTGAATTGTTGCTGCTGCGTCGGGATAATCCGTGTGAGCCGAGCAGTTGTCAGAGGAGACTTACCAAAACAGGCAGTGAAACAAAACTTAAGGCTGGCTACCAGACTCCTGCTTTATTTATTAACCGCCTTCAGGGTGACTGCTGAGGTCGGGTCTGCAGGTCAAGGGGACAGGGCCCCCGGGCCATGTCTGCACGGCGCACAGTCCGCCGGGCTTCTGTGGCCTTCCCTGCGTGTGACCCGGGGAGGGCCAGGGCCCGGGCGACCTGTGTCCACCAGCGCGGCCCCAAGACATTGGTGGATTTAACTCTTTTTCTTCCCAGTTGGACAGCAAGGCGGTGAAACACACAGCTTTATCCCTCATTTCCGTCATTTTGAAGAGAGCACTGAAAACTGTTGACCACTGTTTGAATAAAGAGGCCTGGGAGTCGGGAGTGTACACAGCTGCAATGATGGAGGACTTCGTGCAGCTCTTCAGAGAAGCCCTGAGCAAGGTGGGCACGGAAGCCGGGCTTCCAGGGGTCCCAGCACACCAGGTGGAAAAGTGCTTGGGGGCACAGAGGGTGGGTGCAAAGTGAGGTGAAGGGGTTGGGGTGCTCCTGGGACCCCAAGTCTCATCAGGAGCTGTTGTGCCCCTTGCCTCCCCCTCCACAGCTGCACACATGCGGGACTGGGGCCACGGTGATGGGGTGGCCTGCTCCCTCCTCCCCGGGCTCAGTCTGGTGAGCAAGGGAGGCTGGTTGTCTACAGACTGGCTGGCTCCCCTGAAAGAGCAAAGGGCTTGCTGGCCAGGGTCCCTGTCGCCTGTCATAAGGACGAGTTTATTGGTTCCCAGTGTCTTGCTCAGGTAAACAAGTGTTAAGGCATCTGTTTTAATAATCAATCCTTGTATTTTCACCAAATCTTACTGTGGTTCTAGGATTACACCCCAAACCTAGCTCCCGGAGGACCTGGGCCTCTTTCTCACGCCCCCACTGGCCCGCCCTTCTCCCTGTTCTGTGCTCCTCGTTCGTAGGTTCAGTCCATTTGTTTCTCTTCCTTTTAACGTGACTGATTTTCTGTTTGTTTTCCCTTTTAGATTTTACCAGACCTGAACACCATTGTCTGGGTCTGGCAGTCATTCAGAAAGCAGGAAACGAAACAGGACGACGAGAAGGGAAAGAAAAGGGACAGCGGGACCCCCGCCACCTGCATAGCTCCCCAGAGCGGTGAGGGCTCAGTGCGGCCTCTGCGGTTTGCAGACGGGGCTGACCCAGGCCGCCTGGGACGACTCTTGTCTAGAGGGACTTTTGAGGGCCTCACCAGCTGTGGCTGAATTTTGTGTCCTTTTTTGCTTGGGGAGAAGAATTGGCACGGCATTGTGGATAGAATTTTAACATCTGCTAGGAATGTGCCCAAGCTTTATGCAAGCACTATGTCTCTCTAGAAACTTGTATGATGGATGCCATGTGCTCTGGCCTTTCAAGGAGGGTGGAGGTGGGAGGGAGGGCTCTCTGGTTCTGCAGAGAGAGATGCAGATCGAGGTGGGCTATGCGGTCTCCTCTGGTAACAAGGTGTGTTGGCTCCGACCTTGTCATTGGCAAGGCACTGGGCTTTGTATATTGTGTCTCTGTCCTACTTAATTTTTACAGCGGTCCTGCGGGGGTAGGCACTGCTGTGTGTCCCCATTGTTCAGATGAGGACACTAAAGCACAGAGAGACAGAGTAGCTTTAACCTATCCAAGGTCACAGCAGTGAAATGGGGAGTTAAACCCAGCCTGTTTGAACAGTCTTGACTTTTTCACCACATCAACTCCTTAACTGTAGTCCCGTGGAGATCGGCCTGCAGCCCCAGTGTCCGGCATGCGGCTGACTGTGGTGGGTCACGGGGGGCTCAGCTGCCACTGATTGCTGATTGTGGCAAAGAACATGCATGTTTCCTAATTCCGGAAGTTTTATTTTGGTTCAGATGATGCCGAAACTATCCTTCTGAAAGCTGTCCTGCTCCAGGTCATCTGCCTCTACCAGAAGGTGGTCCCGCACGTGGTCATGCAGTATAACTTTGACTTCAGCAAGCTCCTGAAAGGTGCGACTCCAGGGATGGTGGGTGCTCCTCTGCCATTCCCGACGGTGGGGGTGAGGGAAACGCGGGGACACCAGAGTAGAGTCCCCGGAGCCAAGGACTGGGAAGGCAGATGGGCAGTTTGTCTGATGTGTGTGACCTACTAGCGGACTGATGTTCTTAAGTTGCTGCGTCCAGCGCAGCTCAGGACCATATCTGAGGACGAGCGACACAAGACTTCAGAAACAAAGAGACAAAGTGAAGAGCCAAGATGGGACCAGGGGACTCAAGATCTCATGGATCAAGGGTCCCGAAAGCCTGGTCGACATCATATTTATTGGGTATAGCTCAGAAAAAAATGCGATCAAAGAGGTGGGGTTTTAGAAATTCCATGCCTTAAGCACTAAGTTCTGCTTGCTGGTTAACTGATTAATTTCAGGCTCATCCCTTCCAGGAACAATCACCCTCCTCGGGGTATGCAAAATTTCTGTCTATCCTGTTACTGCCTCCGGGACATCCTGAGATAGCAGATACTTCCCTTGGGTTAAACAGCATGCTTTCATGCCAGAACAAAGTTCTGTTAATGGATGATCTGGCTTTCCAGGACCTTCCATTGTTTTACCCTAAGGAAATATCTGCCCTCCTTCATGCCCTTGTGGTCAATCTCAGGATTTCTCCTTACAAATTTTCTTTAGCATAATACATGTTATAGGTCATCTACTGCGTAAAACATTAAAACAAAGCAAGCATGTGCATTTTGAGCAAGTAAGTGTGAATGTAATATTTCAGGCTCATGGAAATTTAGGTGTGGCTTGTTTTCTAGTTGCTTGTTTTCCAACAGCTTGTTTCCCAGCATTAAGTAGCCCGTCTTCCTTAAGGAAGTAATCTGATGATCGCTGAACAGCGTGAGGAGAGAAGAGAGAAGCCAGCCAGGCTGAATTGCCTGCCATAGGGGATCAACAAATAAGATTTTGTGACATAAATGCTAAAGCCTCTTTTTAAAGGAGGAGGGTGCAGAGGGGTGCAGAGTGAGAGGCTCTCGGAAGGATGTCGTGTTCACACAGAGGCTCTTCTGACGTAGTTGCTCATATTTCACCCAGTGAGTCAAGTGCAAACCACATCTTGTAAAAGTAACATTATGCTTGTCTGGCCATGTTTCCTTGATGGAAAAATTTGTCTAATAAAATTGACTTTATAATTGGGCCTACGGAGGAAGACTTGCAAAAATATCATTCTTGGGACTTACGTAAGCCATTGAAATAATCCTATTCAAAAGATATAATTAACTTTTTGATTGTTTGGAGGCAAAAAGTTCTCTTGCTCTGAGAATATGAAATTTACTAGAATGTGGCCATTTAATATTTAGTACTGTGTCCTTCCCAAGCAAAGGAGAAGCCTGGAAATCAGGCCAGAGGCCAAGGACCCAGTCTTGGGCTTGGGTGGCCACAGCCACCCACCAAGTGCCTGCAGTCTGGGAACAAGGTCTGCACCCCCTCCCGGGGACAACAGTAATGAGGGGCGGTACCTGGAGGGCAGCATGTGGTGGGGGGTCAGGGTGGGCCGAGTGCAGGCCAGGCTTCCTTGGGCAAGTGCAATCCCAGCTCTCTGTTGAAGGATTTGGACAGATCTTGGGAGGGGAGGATGTGTCGGGTAAGATGGGTGGGCAGAAGAGCGGGCACAGCTCGTGACCAGGGACCACAGGTCAAGGGTGGACTGAACCCTGTGTCCTTCCTGCCTATTTCCACAGTTTCTTGTTCAGACCTTGTGGCAGGGGCAGCAGTAGCTGGGCTGCCTCCTGTAACTTCTTATCTGTTTTCCTCTTTCTTACCCCCAGGGGTCATCTCAGAGGAGGGCCTTCGAGAGGAGGTGCCTCCAATCCTGCAGCACCACATTCTGAAGGTGGCCCTGGAACTTCCCGCCAGCAAGTTTCTGTGGCTAAAGGCACAGGTAGGAGGCCGAGATGCCGCCTTCTGTCATTAACCACCCTGCTGGCTTGTCAGCTTCTGGGCCCGGAGTTCCTAACTGGATCAGAACCCTGACAGTTATGAAGGAAGACATTAACAGTTCTCCTTTTAGAGAGGAGCCTTTAGAGCAGAGGCCAGGTCCTGATTTATGAGCCAGGAATCTCTTTGCTTTTGCAAAGTATGGTACTTAACTGTCCCTACTGAAAATATATGATTGCTGGGAATTGGGGGTTTTAATTTTTTTTTAATCTTGATTATTTTAAGTTATTCTTATCCTTTTACAACCTTTTTGAAAATAAACAAACTACATTCCTTTTTCTTTGTCCTCATCCTTGGAGAATTTAAGGCAGAGAGGGGAATAGACACCAACCCAGGATAGGGTCAAGGCTGGCGGAAAAATTAGTAAAAGTTGCTGGCATTGTTTTCTGTGTTTCTGATAATGTCTTCTAGGACTTTCTGGAGAACATAATGCTTAATCATAAAGGGAACTCATGATGAGACAAGTATTTACCTGTGTATTTAAACACAGGATGCCACGTTACTTCTGTCCAAAGAGGGAAGATGACCAGGCAAAACCGTGTTGTCTAAGTGTGTTTCTCCATAGCTCAGATGGCTTATTTTCATGACTTGAACCATATATGAGATCTTGTATGAAGTCAGCAGTGTGGAGATGTACATTGGCACTTTTGCAGGTGGTGTTTCCAGAAACATCAAGCATGCTGTGGCACTGGGATCTGTGTGCCACGTGAGTCCTCCCTCTAAGGTTCACCTACATCGTAGTTGCAGATAATTCTCATCGAGAACTTACTGCGCACCAGGTTTAACACAAGTGTGCTAAGTGCCATCTCATTTGCCACCACGTAAGGGTGAGACAGCTGGAGGGGAGAGTGGTTAGAAGGCGTCTGCAGGGTCCCAGCCACAAGTGGAGGGTCCAGGATCGGGCCCAGGCTGTGTTACCCAGGGCCCTGCTCTCACCCTTTACATACCCCGTGAGGTCGCTCCCAGGATCCCAGAGAGGTGACGAGTCTGAGGTGTTTGGTGTGTCACTCCAGCTGAACCGAGCCATTGGGACCTTGATGATTTGGTTGGAGAATGAACAGAGGCCTCTTACTTTGAAAGAACTGCTGTTAAAACATTAATTGATACCCCATGTCTCACCTTCTGCTTATAAGATGGGTCTGCTGGCTTTGTGAACGCCGGCCCTTCACGTGTTGGGATCAGGGCTTCGGGGAGACACAGACACAGCGGGGTCTGGGCTGGGAATCTGGAGCTTCACACATTCCAAGCCCAGAAGCCTTTGTTAAGAGGCTTAATTACGTATAAGGGACTGATTACATCAGCAGCGGCCTCCTGCTGAAATGTGGCGAGTGCTGTGTTTGACGGAGTCAGGCCACCCCTGGGTGGTCTGCTTCCCCACAGCCACCAGCCTGGCCCCCTCTGCGCCAGGACTCCCGCGGCTTGAGTCCCGCCTCAGCTGTTGAGCAGCCTGTTGCCTCCTTGTGCCTCAGCGTCCTCGCGTGTGAAATGGGGTAACAGCGCCCCCCTCAGGCTGGTTGGGAGGATAGAGAAAACGTGTGAGAAGCACCTGAGGAGGCCTGTGCTTCCTGCTGGTACTCTGTTATCACTCCAGCTGCTGTCGGGGTGCTGGGTGGGCTCCCTAACTTCTGGGCTTCCTCAGTAAAATCCTGGCAGCCGTGCTGAGTTGTGGTTAAAATGAGATGAGACAGGAGGCTGGGAAGGATACCGGGCCTGCAGGACCTGTTTGCTCACCAACAACAGCCTCTGTTACATTTATAATAAATATCCTGTCATTCAAACTCCAGGAAGGCCCAGATGCAGAAATTATTGGCGGAAAACGATCCGTGTTTTACTTACTGATGAAAATGTTTGTGACCAGTAGCAATTCACAACTCAAGTCATCGACCAAACTCCTGATCGTGAAGGTGAGCACTTTCTTCCAGTTCCTCATTCTGAGAAGCGTTTGGCACAGTCTTCCTTATAGTGGGTGCTTAGTCAGTCACCAGTTGTTGAATTCAGGGGTGGATTAGGACTGTTACAATTTAAAAATAGAAGGTTTTATGGTAATTATAACTTATTTTGTCTTAACCTGGCTGTGTTCCCAGAGGCAGCCTGGTGAAATGGGAAAAGCATGCGCGTTGAAGTCCTGTCCCTAGGTTTGAGTCCTGGTTCTGCCACTTCTGGGTGGCACTGAACAAGTTGCTTGGCC